ACTCCCACATTTCATTTTAATATATTGCAGCAATTTGTTGAGATTTTAATTGAGGAAAGCGAAAGCATGACAAAATCCTTAAAGCATACAGGAGACGCAGTCGTAAAAGATTTAACATCGTTTCTTAGTGAACATGCGCTGAATGCAATATGTGGTATTGTATCGTAACTACATGGAATTTTATTTCTATCAACGAATAATAGAAAATAAATGCAATTTTTTAATTAAAATTTCAATATAACATTACACTATTCAATATGTTTTTTTACACATAAACATAGATATTCTTCATAGAATATATGTGTATCGTAACATTATCGTGACATTCACAAATGCGTTTGCAGAAACTGCAATGGGCACTTCTCTAAGAGATCTAAGTGCATTCCAACAATCTTATCGAGATGCGATTCACCAGATGGGCGAACTTCTTTATTATAGGTAATTTATAAGTATAAGTAATATACATATATCTAAATTCCGTTTTAACATATTAATTAATATTATATTAAAATAAATTATAATATTTAATATAAAATGTTAATAATTAAAAATTTTTATGATATTAACTTACACATACGGTCAATTAAAATATTTATTTAAAAATAAGTAATGCTCAAATTTTACTATTTAATATTTAATTGGCTACAATATCTAAAACTTTTCAAGTGTTAAATATTAAAGCATAACGAAAAAATAAAACAATTCAGTGTAAATACGAATTTTTTACTTAATAATAAAACTGAAGAGTTAAAAAAGTTGTTTTGATGTCTCTTAAAATGTTGTTAAATGTCTCTCTTTTTAAGAAAAATTTATTATAAATATATTTTTATGTTAACTAAAATATTATTAATTCAACAATTTTAAGAGTTTGTAAAGAAATTAAAGGAAGCTCTTCTTTACAAAATGATATCATTATTTTAAAATAGCATATTTATCATTCTGTAATTGTAACAATTAGAGTAATGAGGCCGTGGCTGTACTTCGATTGGATATTTTCATTAACGCCAAAAGGTAGAGAACAAAAAAAGCTTTTGAAGATATTACATGGATTTACCGAAAAAGTAAGAAGACTGCTTAAAATTGTATTTAAATCTATTTTTTTTATCTCTTTTGAGAAATTACGATAGAAATTTTAAGACTTTTGTATACAAATGTTGCAAGATGAATCATAAATGTTAATAACACATTGTTAATGCATTCATAAATTCGTAAAAGAAACATAATTTTGTATTTACACAGATTATTGCCGACAGAAAACTTTATCATGAACGCACTAATGGTCAATACTTAAAAAACTTCGGTAATGAAGATTTCGCAGAAGAAAATTACATAGAAACAACTAGAAGTATGTAAAGTAATCAGAAGCTAATTTTTTTATTTGGTCGATTGATATTATAAATCATATATACAATTTCAATCCTAAATACAGTTTTATTTTATTTCAATCAATATTATATAATTAAAATAAAGGATTTAGA